AAATTATAATACCTATATTAAACCCAGAAACCCTGGTGGCGTAGTGCTTAAAAGCTATGGCTGCTAACCAAAAGGTGGGCAGTTTGAATCCACCAGCTCCTCCTTGGAAAACATGGGGCAGTTCTACCCTATCCTATAGGGTCACTACGAGTTGGAATCGACTCGACAGCAATGGGTTGTTTTTCTTTTTTAAATATTAAACCTATTGCTGTTGAGTCGATTCCAACTCATTGACACCCTATAGGACAGAGTAGACCTGCCCCATAGGGTTTCCGAGGAGCAGCTGCTGGATTTGAACTAGCAGATCTTTTGGTGAGCAGCCATAGCTCTTAACCACCACTCCACCAGGGCTACTTGGAAACCCTGTGGGGGCAGTTCTACTCTGTCCTATAGGGTCACTATGAGATGGAATCAATTAGAAGGCAACGGGTTTGGTTTGGTTTCCTTGGTTCCCTTAGATGTTTGGCAGGAGTGGTTGGTTAATAAAATAGTCTTTAACTTCTTAAGTGGCTTCAGACATTGACCTGTGGTGTGATTCAGAACTTTGGAAAAGCTTTTCCCTGTCTTCACATGCCCCCGACCTTGCCCCTCCACTCCAGGTAATGACCACAAAAGTGAAGCAAGGCTGTGGAGCTTGGAGCTGGTGTTTCACTGACCAGGTGGTGGGGGTTGCAGTGGAGATGCTGGCCGGGTTGAGGATAGCCAAGTAGCCTGCAGGTGGACAGCAATGTTCACTGGTGAAGCGGGCATTACCAGTTGCATTTTACACTAACTCTACCAAATCAGTTCACCTCTTGCACGACCTGTCTGAGTCAACTAGTGCTGCTATAACAGAAATACCACAAGTGGGTGCCTTTAACAAACAAATTTATTTTCTCACAGTTTAGGAGGCTAGAAGTCCAAATTCAAGGTGCCAGCCAGGGGCAGATTATCTAATAGGCAAGGTAAGCACAGTGCTTACCTTGCTTACCAGGTCATCTGTAGTGAACAATTTCACATTTTTCACCACATCAAAGATTCTGCTTCTAGGTATGGCCGGCATCTGTCTCTCTCCCAACCCCACAGCACCTGCCTACAGAATCAAAGCCTCTTTTCAAATTTACAATCCCTG